GAGACCGACATTCGGAAGGCACATTTTCAAAGGAGAATAACTGACTGTAGCATTGTTTTTCAGATAAACAAATATGTTAACTTAGCATGTTTCTTAAATATCTGCAAACATATTATGGTATTTTTATGCGTTAGTAGAGTCAAAAACTTACATACAGCACCTTTAAATGTGAAAGGTGCTGTGTGACTACACTATTGACAATCAAGGACGGACCTTTTTGTACGTGGAATTTTGGCAATAAATAAAACCGCAAATTTTCTATTGCCAATGTAAAGCTTTCTTTTGTTCAATGCGGTGAATACGAGCCACCAACTTGAACCCGTAGCGAAATCTGCATGTTGAAAATTTAGTCTTGATGCGAAATTACGTATGGCTTGGATTCCTATTGAAAGGAATGGATTTAGCCGGCGCAAAAAAAAAAAAAAGAACAACGGTAAATTGTTCATGTTATTAACCCTTTAAAAATAGACATGCAAAGTCACTAAACTCTACCCTAAGAAATGTCGGTAACATTACATTGAAAATGTATCTTACCATGCTACAAGCAAATTGTAATTTGTACATTAAGTAAACTATAAGTACTCTTTTGATAAAATACATGACAAGCTGCAAAAAAGCTAATATTGAAACTACGTAAAGAGTGAATATTATTTATTAATATATATCACAAGAACTAAACATAAGCATTTATTTATTTGGCAAAGACAGACACAATCGCAATGTCAGTATTAATTTTAAATAGTTTTGGTGTAGTTAGCTTTTTTTGTTAGTAGGGTGTAGCACTTTAACCGTTTATAGTTTAATTTAACTAAAAAAAAAACATTTTTTTTTTTTTTTTGATTTGACAAATGCACTATATAACAATTATTAATTTATTATAATAAGTATTTTATGCAAATTTGAAAACAACAGAATTTAATGGAAAGTCCCCATCATGACAGTGAAACACGTGTGTGTGTCTGTGTGTGCTGTATGCACGTGTCATGGGGTAATATGCTGTCTCTAATTGTGCTACTGTGTGGCTGTCTGTTAAGAATGGAGAGACAAAGGGAGATAGAAACCCTAAAGCAGTAATAACATCTGTGGCCTTCTTGAGCCCTCTCAGCTGCCCACACAGTGTAGACTCATATACACACACACACACACACACACACACACACACATGCACAAACATAAAAAATAATGTACACAGACTCATTCTTTTTCTCTTCCATTTGAGTCCAGAGCATGCCCAAACCATATTTATCCCCAAAATCAAAAGAAAAAAAAAATTGTGCATAAAGAAAATGTTTGATGATTAAGAATTTTTTTGCATTAAAATTAAACACCTTCCTCCCAGTTCCAACTACTATAAAGTGATAAAAATTATGCTTTATTTAAATGGTAAAGCATTTATACATCATGGTAGCATTTGTTGTACTGCCAATAAAATAATTTAATTTAATTCAATTTAATTTAATATTACAGCATTTTTACTATAAAACATACCAAGTATTATAGTAAAATGCTGGAAATATTATTTATTGTTCTCATTATTTTTACTGTAATACATTGGGTGTGGGAGTAACAAATCTTAAAATGTAATCTTCATTTTCTTTTTACAAAAAAATATTTTTTCTTCTGATTTCAGTAGTGGCCTGGGCATATAACAAAATTCACCCTTTTGTGAGCAGAAACACACAAAAAAAGGGCTAAACACAGGAAACTTATCCATCTTTCAGAAGGAAGTCATGCCATGGATTAGAAAGAGAAAGTTGGAAAAAGACACTGAGAAAGAGAGAATAAGGGAAATACATAAAGAGATCAGGATGGAGAGGAAGATTTACTTCAGAAATAGAGATCTGCTCCAGCAAGAATTAATCAATCAAGAGGAGGTCATTTTTGAACACAGGAAGGAAAAGAGGGATATTTAGCAGCAATCGTCTCTAAAGCGTCAGAATCTAAATTGCAGAAGGATTTTCCCACACTACAGATGCACAATGCACTCTTCTCTCCCAAATCTAAACGCTGAAACCCTCCCCAAGAAATCCATAAATATTTCATCTTTTATCTCATCAACCTTGTTGAACTCCATGCCGCCACGTTTGCCGTGCTGTGACCAGTGCAATTAAGGAAACCATAAATGGATGGACAAATGCATACATTAATGTTCAAAAATGATGGATGCTTTGCATGACAATGTAAATGAAACATTCTTTAACCTATGAGTGAACTTAATTAAATGAACTTGGACACTTTCATTCATGTGGGTATAGATTCCCTTAAATTGCTGGAAAATTAGGAGAGGTGCATGTCCCTGTGCTTGGCTCGTGACATACATTCAGGACTCAAGTGAAGCTCTATATAATGGATATGCTTTTGCTCTATGAGTAATTACCTCTTCCAAGTCCAAACTCATTTATTTTTAAAATCAAATAGCACCGAGAGGTTGGAACCTGCACACTTGGTCTGTTTTGCACCGATTGCCTGTGCATTTGGATTGCATGGCATCACCTTCCCTTGTGCTGTCATTTGCACTACTGGCAATAATGGCACGTGAACACCAGGTGTGACTGGGGTCTTTGCTGTCTTGATGTGAAAAAGTAACATTTTGCCATCATTTACACTCCCTAATGTCATTCTGATCCCATATTATTGTCTTTTCTTTAGTGAAACACAAAGACTAGCTTAAACGTAAAGTTCTTATTTTCCATACAATAGAAGTGCATGATGGTGTTTACTGCCAACCCCCACCCAAAACAAAAAAACGTTGTGTATCATAAAAGCGGTCCATATGAGGTCACAAATCTCCTTTGCATTTGCGTTGAATAAAAAAAATGGCACATTTTTTTTCTGCTAGGTCTTGACATGAACAACTCTGACAGTTCACCCAAAAATGAAAATTCTGCGATCATTTAATCACCCTCATGAAGTCTTTATAAGCTTTTCTGGATCTTTTAAGTTTTAGTTACCTGGATTGACCAAAGTCTAATGGTTTTAGAATGACATGAGTAAATGAGACTAAATGATGACAACATTTTCATTTCTGGGTGAACAACCACTTTACGTTTTGAGAGCAAGGGAGATATGAAGATTATAAGTGAAAAATTATTTATATTTCAGACGTTCTGTCACACAAATCATACAACTTCAGAAGACTTGCACAAATTGCATGAACAATAATTATGATACGTATATGCTGCTTATTTGTCTTTATGGAGCTTGGAAGTTTACTCAGCATCCACTTCTGTTGTATTAAAAAACACAAACTCCAACATTCTGCCTAATATCTCCTTTTGAAAGAAAGTAAATGATGACAAAATTGCCATTTTTGGCTGAACTACTTCATATACTCTCTGCATAGACGCTGTTTAATCTCTTGAGTGCTATACAAAAAACTAGCCAGCCTTCCATTTTAGTACCTTCATTACTGACTTGTTGCTTTCCCGCAGAGATCCTGATACATCAGTAGATGAAATCAGCCATACCTAGTGAAATGAAAGTGAAGATGAGTGGATGATGTTTGTTTGGTGGTGGTGAATTTGGCAGAGGGACAGAGAGGTAAGGAGGACACGGAGGGGTCCAGACGGATGTGTGAGTGAGTGAAGTACAGCAGTGGCAGGATCGGTGATGGTATGCAGCTTTACTTGCTCTTGACCGCAGCAGCCTTTTCGCCCTTGTTATTGTCCCCCTTTTCACTCTTGCTATCGCTCTTCTTCTCCTTTTCCTTCTCTTTCTCCTTTTCCTTTTCCTTTTCTTTCACTTTCTCCTTCTCATTCTCTTTCTGTTCCTTTGGGCTCTTCTTTTCTTCCTTTTCCTTCTTCTCATCTACTTTTTCCTTTTCCTTCTCATCCTCCTGTTCTTCCTCCTCCTCTTCCTCCTCACCTCCTTCTTCCTGTTCTTCTCCTTCCTCTGCCTCCTCTCCTTCCTCTCCTCCCTCCTCTTCCTCTCCTTCTTCTTCTTCTTCCTTCTCCTCCTCCTCCTCTTCTTGCTCTTCCTCTTCCTCTGTCTCAGGTTTGGCTTCGACCTTTCTGTAAGCGCTTAGGGCATAAGTGCGGCTCGATGGATAAGAGTAGGCAGACTGCAGCATGGCTCCGCCCACAGAGCTCAGACGGCATTCCTCACCTTCCAGCAACTTCCTGTTGGGAATGGCCATATATGGATAAATATGGAACACTGATAAATGACACTAAAAAATGATTACATCAAATGCGAATAGTTCTGAGTCTGACCGGTAGGCTGCGATCTCAATGTCCAGTGCCATCTTGACATTCAGCAGGTCCTGGTATTCACGCAGGTGGCGGGACATCTCACCTTTTGTGCTCCTCAGAGCAGATTCCAGCTGCTGAATAGTGTCCTACAGTGCAAACAAGACATTTATGTCTCCAAAAACATATTTCCGATAGGAAATCTTATGCATTTGAAAATGTCTTTTATTACAGTGGGGTCCAAAACTTTGAGAGCACATTGTAAAGCTATTTTATTTGAACTTTTTAGAATTTTAAAGTCACTAATCACACAATCACTAATCACTCAGGACACTCTGTAGTTCTTATGCTGTTAGACCTTAGTGCAGCATTCGACACAATCTTTTTTCACGTCTTGAGGTGGTTGGCATTCAAGGCTTTGCTCTCAATTGGTTTAGATCATTCCTATCAAATAGGAGTTTTTCTGTCAACATTGGTCAGACTTTTTCATCCTCTGTACCACTGACATGCGGGGTCCCTCAAGGGTCTATTCTCGGCCCTATTTTCTTCTCATTATATATTTTACCTTTAGGGTCAATCTTTCGTAAACATGGAATTGCTTTCCATTTTTATGCTGATGACACACAAATGTATATGCCATTTAAGAATAATGATGGAAATGCCCTTAATTCTCTTATGAAATGTTTAATTGAGGTTAAGACCTGGTTGTCGTCAAATTTTTTTAATTTTAATGAGAGTAAAACAGAGCTCGTCTGGTTTGGGGATCCTGCACTTCCTGAACTGTTAAATTTAGGTGAGCTGACCACTTATTGTAAACCTGTTGTCAAAAACCTAGGGGTTTTGTTTGATAATGATCTGAAATTTGATAAACAGATTAACTCAGTAGTTAAATCAAGTTTCTTTCACTTACGACTGTTGGCAAAGGTTTCTTTCTTTTAGTGATCTTGAGAAGGCGATACATGCGTTTATCATGGTGAGACTTGATTATTGTAATTCTTTGTACGTGGGTGTCTGCCAATCTGCTTTAAACAGATTACAATTATTTCAGAATGCGGCTGCGAGGCTCTTGACAGGGACTCGTAAGCGGGAGCATAAATCTCCTATTCTGTTTTCAATGGGCTGGTTGCCAGTCAAGTTTAGGATTGCTTTTAAATTATTAGTTTTTGTTTATAAGTCACTAAATGGGTTGGCACCATCTTATTGGTCGGATCTTTTACAGGTGTATAAGCCCTTTAGGTCTTTAAAAGGTTTTAATTGTACCGAAGACTAGGTATAAGCGAAGGGGCGATCGGGCCTTTGCAGTTGCCGCTCCAAAGCGTTGGAATAGTATCGTGTCCATGTATCGCCTAAGGTCTCACCTTCTTTCCTTAGCGTTTGAGCCAGCAGAGTGTTGAGGTATTGTTTATGTTATGTTTTAGCGGTCTTGTTTGTGTGTTATGGTGTGTAAATGTGTTTTTAAACTGTGTTGATTTTGTACAGCACGTTGGTCAACGCTTTGTTGTATTAAAATATGCTATATAAATAAACTAACTAACTAAATAACTAACTAACTAACTAACTAACTAACAAGCAAATTTTGTGACGCTGCTCATGTACAGTCAGATGTTCTTTCAATGCTCTTTGGATCACTCTCAAACCACGCAGGATCACATGATCAGCAGGTTATATTTATATTCATAAATTAATATTTTTTCATTCTTATCACAAAATGCAGATGTGGTTCACAGGGTTATTATCGTTAACTAAATCTAAAGCTAAAACCATAAAAAAAGCATTTTCATTACCTGAAATAAAATAAACATTAACTGAAATACAATAAATTATAAAAAAATTAATATTTTATTTGGTGCCAAAGCAACTTTTTTTTGTTAAATGTAAGTGCTACAATAACTAAAGCTAAATAAACTAAAGCTAAAACCTAAAATGTAATATATAAAAAAACTATATAGAAAAAACAAAAACCAATAAAAGAGACAAAAGCACACTACTGTCAGACTGTTCCATGTTTTGTGTGTGTCCTGCTCCCCATGTGCCTTCCCATGCCCTTATTTGGTTAGTTTCCTGTTCCTGTCCTGATTAGTTTTTCATTTGTCCGAGGTGTTTCCCTTGGTTTTATTGTGTGTGTGTGCGCGTGCGTCCGTCCAGTCCCAAGTTCTCTGTCCGCTGTTGTACGTCTTCGTGGAACGTCTTCCTGTGTTCGTCTCCCTTGGTTCCTTGGTGGTTCATGCAAATAAAGTCCTGTCAACATATTCTCCAGCATCCCCTCGTGTGTGTGTGTGCAACGTGACAACTACAAAATTACTAAAACTTGAATTAAAATGAAAACAGAATATATAAAAATCTAATTCAAAATATTAACCAATACTACAATAATATATCAATATGCTAAATAATATTTGTAATTAAATTAGAAAAATGCAAAATATAATTTCTGAAGGATCATGTGACACTAATGTAATGTCTGCTGAAAATTCAGCTTTAATATAAATGACATTTTTAAATACATTAAAACAGAAAAATAATAGAATTTAATTAAATTTTTTTTAATTAAATTAGAAAAATTCAAAATGGGAGCAAATTTACTAGTGGCCTCAGATTTGTGGCCTCTACTGTACGTATCATTAAAATGCACTCACCTGTAGCTCGCCGATCTCGTTGTTGTGGCGGTCCTCCATCTCCGCTAGCTGTCTCTCTAAGGCCTCATTATGGGCTCTCAAGGCCTCGATCTCCAGCGTGCGGCCCTGCAGCTGTCGGCGGTACTCAAACAGCTCATCCTTGGTCTGCTTCAGAGCGTCGTTGTTGCGCGCTGCTGCCTCTGTCACAGTGGTGAACTTGGAGTGGTACCAATCCTCTGCCTGCTGTTGGTTCCGGGCAGAGAGAGACTCGTACTGAGCACGAATGTCCTTCAGGGCCACAGCAAGGTCAGGCTTACTGACGTCCATCTCAACAGACACCTGAGCATGAAAAACAGTCAACAAACGAATTGTTAATAAATTTCATATAATAGATATAATGTTAGATTTAATATAAATCTAACATTAAAATATAAATCTAATGCTAATAGTCTAATAACACTAATATACAGCCTGATCTTAAAAAAAATATTGATAGGTTGTTGACAGCTAAAATAGGATTTACTACTACCATTCAAAATTTTGAGATCACTAAGAATTTTTCAATATTTAATTTATACTTTACTTAATACTTTTGCAAAGGACATTTATAATGTTGCAAAAGATTTCTATTTCAAATAAATACTGTTCTTCAAAGAATACTTGAAAATGTATCACAGTTTCCACAAAAATATTAAGCTACACAACTGCCTTCAACATTGATAATAATAAGAAATGTTTCTTGAGCAGCAAATCAGCATATTAGAATGATTTCTGAAGGATCACGTGACACTGAAGTCTGGAGTAATGATGCTGAAAATTCAGCTTTATCACATGAATAAATTACATTTTACAATATATTCGAATAGAAAACAGTACTCCTATACTTTTCAATGGCGGTGAATGCAATAAATAGTCTTTAGTTTGTAAAATTGACTAGTATTGATCTGGTGAGGAAATTGCAATTTAGTTGCTGATCCATTATTGATTTCTAATGAATAATTAATTACCTTAACAACTCGTTTACATTTGAGCTAAAGGGAAAGTAAATTATAGCTATTCATATAGTTGCTTTTGCATATATTTATTGGCATAAATATGAGACATTCTGTACATATATAGAAAGTTGCTTAAATGTGTCAGTGATCATTTGAATATACTGATAAATAAACAGCTTTCCAGTGAATATAATCAATAAACCAATGTCCATTAGGTAGTGAAGTTGCATTGGCAGTGAAAAAGCAGTAGAGCTGATATATGCTGTCCTTATGTTGGCCATGGCACATTTAATCAGCCTTTGAGTGTAATGTGTGGTAATGAAGTTTTGAGCCCTTGGGGCTGTGGGATGGAGTGCAGACTCAGGGGTTTTAATGCACAATGAAAGATGAAGCTGCTTGAATGCTTTCACGGGATGCAACAGCAATTCATCAACCACACGCAGAGAACAGCAATCCATGCATGATGAGCATCAGCTTACATCAGTTACATTCTAATTCTCTAGCTTGAGTTTAATTTCAGATAAAACACGGAAGGGAAGTTTATTACTTTTATCCAAGATACTTTTAAATGAAACTCAGCTGGAAATGTTATCTTCTGTAGTGTAGAAATACTCTCAGAAGTAGCTGAGGGAGTCTAAAGTGAAGCAGTCTCTCTCAAGGACGCTGCGCCGCGGGGTTCTGCTGCACTCTGCAGCCACACCTAAAATCCTGCGCTACTGCATCAATATCTGCCATTGGCAAGAGGTAAGGAAGTTTAAACCTTCCCATCACCAACAACCTTCTTTTAACTCTTAATACATTTCTCCCTCTCTAAGTGCTTGTCCTTGTCTTGGTCTGATTAAATATACTTTTCTAGATGTTAAAGTTGCATGAGAGAAGGGACTGGCACTATAAATGCACATTTTGATGGAGGTCCTGGTGCAGTGCAGGGTCAGATTCTCAATGTCGGAGCTGCAGTGCTGTAAATTCTCCCAGACACACACACCGCCCTCAATGACACTGCACAGTCATGCTACGCATGCCCACACTATGAGTTATTAATAAACATAGTATTTCATTGCATTTCTAAATACAAGGTTTTTATATGCTTTTCATAATCACATCTTTTCAAATATGTTTTATCATACATCGTAAAAAGGTGTTAGCTTATAAAGATATTTCTACCTGATATGACCTTTAAATAACTTTAACTGATGTAAACCAATGTAGTCAGGTTGATTCACTCATATGCAACATAAAAATATAATATAAATATGAATATAATAATTTAAATATAAACATTATAATATTTAAAATAATAATCATGTTTAAATAAAAGGACATTTTTGTTTCCTGACAAAACATTTTACAATATATATCATGTAGCAATGACTAAACCATCTAAAACATGAAATATTTGTCTTAACCACAACTTGTTTGATTTTACAGGAAGTTAAAAATTGTATTCCCATAGATCTGCATCTTTATGCCACTGCATAAATCACAATGTCATGAATGGCACTGCACAACTGTAATATGAGATATTAATGACAAATAATGACAAATGGTACAAATAACTTTTGCAGTTAAAGCATATTGTATAAAAATTGACAAAATAATTTTTTATGCTGCATATTATGTAGTGATTTAAATTACACCTACAGCATATGCAACATTTGGCTTTCTATGATTTTCATAATTTAATACATTTTAATATATTTTCTTATCAAATAAGATTTACACTGTAAATCGAACATGTTCTTATATAAAACATATTTTATAATAATTGAACTTTTTTTTTTAACATTGTATATTATGTAGATTACAATATAGTATGTGCATAATTTGTCTTAACTTAAAAACAACTCAGACCAGGCTGGTCTGCAACTGGTCTAGCTTGTCTCTCAGTGTTGCCAGTCTTAGCTGGTTTCAAATGGTCTCCCAGACTAGTAAAACAGGTTTTAACTGGCATCCCAGCCTGACCAGTGGCTTTCTATGATTTTCATAATTTTATTTCTAATAAAATAAGAAATACATTTAAAAATACATTTTTTAATACATTTTAATATCTTTTCTTATCAAATAAGATCTACACTGTAAATTGAACGTTCTTATATAAAACATATTTTATAATAATTGAACTTTTTTTTTAACATTGTATATTATGTAGATTACAATATAGTATGTGCATAATTTGTCTTAACTTAAAAACAACTCAGACCAGGCTGGTCTGCAACTGGTCTAGCTTGTCTCTCAGTGTTGCCAGTCTTAGCTGGTTTCAAATGGTCTCCCAGACTAGTAAAACAGGTTTTAACTGGCATCCCAGCCTGACCAGCTGAAAAGTGCCCAAATCCCCTCTAAAACCATTCACCAGACTGGTCTAGTTAGATCTTTTTTTTTCTTTTTTAATGTTTACATACCTTTTAGTTTTTCATACCTGGGTGGCCTGAAGCGACGCCTGTAACTCCTGCAGCTCCTCCTCGTGCACTTTCCTGAGGAACGCGATCTCATCCAGCAGGGACTCAACTTTCTTCTCGAGCTCCAGGCGGGACAGGGTAGCGTCGTCCACGTCCTTGCGGTATCCCTTCAGGCTGTTCTCGGCCTCCTCCCGCAGTCGGGTCTCCTCGTCCAGCTTCTCCTTGACGCGCTCCAAAGCCTCGTTCATCTGCATGCAGTCCAGGTGCATCTGGCTCTTCTCGTGCGTCAGCTCCTCGACGCGCGCGCGCAGCTCGCGGATCTCCTGCTCGTAGAGATCGTGCAGACGCGACGGCTCGCTGTGACGCTGGCGCAGCAGCGCGACCTCCGCCTCCAGGACTTTGTTGTGCTGCTCGAGGTTGTGCACCTTCTCGATGAACGTCACGAAGCGGTCGTTTAGGCCCTGCAGCTGCTCCTTCTCGTTGGTGCGGATGATCTTCAGCTCGTTGGTGATGGCGGTGGTCTGCGTCAGGTCCACGGTGTCCGGCATGGGCTGGAAGCCGCCGCCGCGGCCGGATGCGAGTTTGGTCCGGTAACTTGAGGAGGTAACTCGTGCGCGCATCTCGCGGATCTCCTGCTCGTAGAGGTCGTGCAGGCGCGACGGCTCGTTGTGGCGCTGGCGCAGCAGCGCGACCTCCGCCTCCAGAACTTTGTTGTGCTGCTCGAGGTTGTGCACCTTCTCGATGAACGTCACGAAGCGGTCGTTCAGGCCCTGCAGCTGCTCCTTCTCGTTGGTGCGGATGATCTTCAGCTCGTTGGTGATGGCGGTGGTCTGCGTCAGGTCCACGGTGTCCGGCATGGGCTGGAAGCCGCCGCCGCGGCCGGATGCGAGTTTGGTCCGGTAACTTGAGGAGGTAATCATGGGGGATGGAGAGCCGTAGGTGCGGTGCTGCTGCTGGGGTCCGGAGCGGTAACTCACCGTCACCCGGGACGGGCTGCTGCCCACGGGGACGCGCCGTGGCGCATCTCCAAAAATCTTCCTGTATGAGCTGCTCGTGTACATGTCGCCGGAATAACTCATGCTGAAATGGTCGAGATCACAGACCGAGTGAGTGAAGTGTGAGGATGTGGGAAGACAGAGAAAGAGAGAGAGAGAGTTCCAGTCGGGATGGCACACCGGCATCTTTTATAGGCTGAGACCGCGAGCATCATCTGACGCAGGGGCGGTGGTAGAGGGGGAAACCTGCAATCCTGAGCAAAAAGACAGAGTCCCAGGAGAGAGCTCAGTCATTCACTGCCTTTGCTTTCGTGGCCACTCATCCTTTTTCATGCGATGGAGATGTATATTGTCATCGTGCACAGAATAAAAGTGAGGATAAATAAAGGACAAAAGAAGTACAAATGAAAAGCTACATTTGGGGGACCTTTGGAGCATCGCTGGCCGCCCTTTCAAAGGCCAAAATGGAGCCTAAAAGTGCCTGAGCTGTAAGTGGTTCATAAACTAGTTTTGAGGAACTTGAAGTCCCCACAATAGGGAATATGAGGCATCTATTTCCAGAAGATTCTGGGGAGCCAAAATATTCCATCGAGTATCTTTTGCAGTGCAGCTTATTATTGATCATAATAAGGATCTTTATTATATTCATTATCATGAATATAGAGATTGTTAATCTCAGATATAAAGACAGACAGACAGACAGACAGACAGATAGATAGATAGATAGATAGATAAAAATAAATAATATAGATAAAATGGAAAAAGTAAGGCTGCAGAAAAATCAAGCATAAATGTGACGGAATCAAACTGATTTTGTGAGTGTATGGCATGCTACTTCATCGGCTGATGTGTGTGAGCAGAGGTGCTGCATGTTCACACAGAGGGAGTGTCTGACTCTGTGTGTGTTGTAATGCGGGTGGCAGCCTGTGCCTCTGCAGTGTCTGAATACTGAATGAGACAGAGGTCTCACCCTGATGACCCTCCTTGATGCAGAATCCTTTGCAGACTCAAAATCAGCTGACATTCTGCATTCTTCTCAAACATACAGTGCATCTAAAAAAAAAAAAAAAAAGGTTACCGAAGACATGTTATGGTGCATGTCACAAAATGCATATGAGCGCTGTAAAAGTCGGTGTTCTTCATGAAGCTGCATCCCATCGCACTTTTTCCTGATGAGTCATCAGTATTGGCTGTCGGGGAGCGGTGTGGGGGGTGTTCTGAGTGCAGGACTGTCGCACCACACAGATTTGGGATGAGGCCAAGGGCAGGAGCCACGCCTCAGGACGGGCTTTAGCATTATCACACAGCAACCCCTGGAGACGTGCTGCAGGCCGATGTTTCACTCCACTAGTAGAGAGAGAAAGAAAGAGACTCAATTTGAGGTTGACAGGCTCTAGACCACTGCAGTGAAATCAGCCCAACATGGAATGTACAATGAACCATTAAAGTTTTACAATTTGTGACAATATTTGAATGGAAATTAAGCACAAATTCTTAATTTTGCTTATTCTTAATATAAAATTTGTGTTACTGTAATGCAAAAAAATGTTGATAAAGATCAATAGATGGATAAATAGATATAGATAAAATAAAAAAGATATTCTTTTAATACATTAAAATATTCTTATTATTTATATATAATATATATACAAATAAATATATAAAATAT